GTGCGGATTGGTGAGAGCTAACGCAAGTTGCAGTCGCAACAGAGCGTAACGAGTATTTCGAAGCACAAAGCTTGATCTGATAATATAGATTATCTATATTGCCTATTTACATGTATGTACTAATCAAAAAACGATTTGAATTGTTATAGTTATTAGCGTTTCTTCCGTATTCAATCGACCCCATTGCGTGAAAATATTACTAAGCAGAGCTAAAATTAAATCACCACTAACGCCATCTACCAACAAATCTCATGAATACAACATGAGCCCCGCACATAGATGGCGCTGGATTGGATTTATAGCCACTTTTACTGTTACGACCACTTTGCCCGCGTTTCGCGGGCTTTTATCTAAATTAGTCCCATTTCTTACAATGTGCTTAACATATTTGTTGGGATTACATTTGCTGTCGTAATTCTACTAATGTATCATAAACATTTTCGGGCGATTTGCTCAGGGCTGAGTGGGCAATGTTGGACAACCCATCGAGTGGAAAATTATGTACAATTGCTCTTGTGGTAATTACATCGGATACATCTCCTTAAGATGGCGCTATAACAAAATCACTAATTTCATATTTATTGTGCATAAATGAAATGAAATCTTCATAAACTGCAACAAGAGTTTCTTATTTTGAACTAAGTACATAAGATATTATAAACTTCCTAAGTAGATAATGAATACTTTCAAAATTATGAACTCCAAAATTATAAGAAATTCTTCTCGTAATGTAAATAACATTGATATTTCTTGTGCAATAATTATAACGACTTATTGACAATACTTTCATCTATCTCTGTCTCTTGGATCAACCTCGCGATTGTGTCTCTTTTTCATATTGTATTTAAACACACTCTTAAAAAGAAAGGCGAAGACAATTTGTATATGACACATTACTTAATTTATATTTTCTTTGTCTTCTATTAGAATGAGAATAAAGTATTTTGATATACTTATATCGCCTTTTCAGGGGCGTTTGAGGCACTGCACTTTTGAAGCCCTAAAATACAAGAAATAAAATAAGCCATGCTTCTGCCTTAAGTTTTTTAAAGTATAAATAAACATAAAATAAAAACTCAAATCAAGACAGTTATGCTGTGTTATTTGAAAAACTAAGGACGACTTTCTGTTTCGTTTGCAAAGTTTCTGATTCCGATTATAAGTCATCATTATCACGAGAGATATTAGGAGATTGGAAGAATACCCTCAATTTTTTGAAAAGATAAATAATATTAACCATAACGTGTCATTATTTTGACCATTCCGAATACGATACGAAACGCATAAAGCCTACTTTGACAGTTAGCTACATATTTTTATAAAATTGTTACTTTGTGAGTAAAAAAAGAGGCATTGAATGACATTTAATTTATGATGATTCCGATTCCGTTCGGCTTAACTGCTGTATATGTTAGTAGAATAGCTTTTATATGTAAAACAGCTTTCATGTATGTAAAAGATCGGATTCAACGAGATTTCTTGGAGGGATGCCCCTGGAGCAGTATTCATATAGAGTCGTTAATTTTGTCTATGCTAATATTATAAAGAGGAACAATTTGTTTGTTTGTTTGTAATGCATAGGCTCACAAACTACTGGACCGATTTTAAAAATTCTTTCACCATCGAAAGTTACATTATCCATGAGTAACAAAGTCTATATTTTATTTTGGAAAAAAATAGGGTTCGGGCACAAGGTGGAAAAAATCAACCAGAAAAGTTACTTATTTTGCAGTAAAGATAGAACCATAAAATGTTCTAATTAATTGTAGATCTTATAAATATCTACGAAATTATAAATATCCGCGACACACTATACCTATTTATCTCGAGTAAGCACCATTTTTTTATTTAAAAAATCTTGATTTTTTTTTGGACTACAATTTAAACGCGTTTATTTTACTCATGCTATTAATTCTTATCAATAAAATATTTCATCACTAAGTACAGTTTATGTTGATAATATTTGGTCTTTGAATGATTTAAATGACGTTTGGTTTTGAAGTAATGGCGAAATCGATTTCACTACCATTAAAATTTTATCACAATTTAACATTTTTTTTAGATTTTCTAAAAAAATTATAAAGAAAGCCCGTGTTATTAATTGATATATAATTACTGTTATTATTACCCTATTTATTATTAAAAACATGTAAAATTTAGTTTTAGATTTGCAAATTATAGATTACTACTCTTGCGTGATAGATAATACTCTCCAAAAAATACTGCGTCTTTCTTCTGTTCATTTTTAACAAATAAAAAGAGTCATTATCTCAAAACTACAAATCACTTCAGAGTAATTATATCGATACGCCACAATACAAAATTCACTATCTAAATACCGTAAATACTTTTATTCATTAAAAATAGCTGTTCCGCTCAAATGTAGCAAATATATTGATCGACCGTCATAAACGGCCATTGATTGACACATGACAATTCCATATTTCGGTTATACTTTGGTTATTATTCGGTGAGTTCCTAATAAAATACGCAGTTTCTTTTTCTTTAAAATTTTACTAAATGATACCATATATAATAGTTACTATTTTACACCTTGAACTTAGACTATATTTAGATCGTTGTAAGTTTATGAAAGCAAGGTTAATTATATACGGAACGTTATTTTTCAACAAAATAATAAAACAGGCAAATTGTTAATCATTTATAATTATTTTTTTAATGCGGTTAAAAATATGGCTTAAAAACCAATTATTATTTGCTTACGCTAAGCAAATAATAATTGACATTTAAACGATTTGATACCTCAAAGAGACATTATTCTTTTATTCCTGAATTCATTATAAATATTGAAATCAATATAAAGTATAACAAATATAATGGTAAAATTAACTCTATATATTTCACTTAGATTTAATCTGTACAATGTTCCACGATTTGCAACTTGACTTGTGGCGCGCTGCTTTTATTTATTTATACCAACTTTCAAATGTCACGAAGCAAAGTATGTGGAACCTTATTGCTTCCTTTTAAGAATCTATTGAACAGAAAATTTAAAATTGCAAACGGCGTTTCTTCAGATATATATTGTAATGGCGCCAAATTTACGTGAAAGCGTGGGTAAATCGGCCATATTGGATTATTTTTCCCACCTCTTTGTTATTGATACCTATGCTTTCCTTGATTACACTGAAGGTTTAGGACAAAATTATTTTATGATATTTTAAAATTATTTAAACTTTGCACCTATGGTATCCATATAGTATTAATCGGAAATTTAAAAAATATATTCAAGTGCGAGCAGGATTCGAGCGTCGAGAGTTTAGTCAAATTAGGTCTTTCCAACTGCTTTTTTTTTCTATATTTTTTATTTTTTTAATCAAAGTAGTAATCCATACAAACAATGCATTTTTGTCAACGTAATGGTAGCTTATCGATGCCCGTTTTCAAAAAGTTTGCTGGAAAAGGCAACTATTAAATAAGAATATCAAATTGCCCAAACACCACATGGCATTATTCATAATGCCCGGGCAATGTGAATAATGTTCAAATCATAATAATCTATTTTGCCCTAAGTAGCTTGTCATAATTCATAATATCCGGTCCATTATAAATAATGCCCTACTCTATGATTTTGTCAATCTACGTGAACATATCTACGTCACAGCCAACAAAACAGCCGTTTAATTGGGCGGCCTGCCAATTTTTTTAATGGCGCCATTAAATTGCACGTTTAGTTTTCTAGTTGAATCATTATAACATTTGTACCGTTCATCAACTATAGTTATGTATGATTCAAGCCATAGGATACTAATGTATCATACGATGTTATGGCGATATTTCGTTGATTTTTATTACTTTGATTGACATGTAGGATAAAGAGTAATTGCTATGGATTTAACAGCAGCAACTTAGTCATTTATCCCAAATTTATCCACTAAATGGCATGTCATTCCGTTATAACATCGATAAGATTTCGTATTCTATGCCTAGAGTCAAGGATAAGAGTAAGACGGTCACAGTCGCACCCAAGGTTTTGTCTTCAGAAATTATTTTTTATGTATTAATATTTTATCAATTACACGTACCTAATATGGAATTTTATCACATTTGTTCATATAATTACAAAATAATAATGGTGTTCGCTTTTAAGGACCAAAGGACTATTAATCCTTTGTATATTAATATCATTAAAAAGCTATCAATTTAATCATCCATCTGATGCACCCATAATTCACTACCATCATAAAGATTTTATGACACGCTATCCATATTATTCGCAATATAGTTTATGACGTCTATACGATGATTGCCAATAAATGATAGATTCTTCTAATGCCATCGAATCGTCTTATAATGATCTATAAAAATTATAGCTTTGTATAAAAGCAAGATAAAAGTAAAAAAAAAATATAAAACTCCCTAAATTCTCAAGGAACCGTTTTGTGGAACATATTTAGTCTAAAAGTCCCCCGACTGCAATAAGAATTTTGCTAGATCTAGATCCCCTCTGCATGCCGAGGACGGTTAAACAGGATATAATAAAATGGTTTATATGAAAGTTCTTTGTTTATGGACCTATGGAAAATTCGTATGCGGCTACTTAAATATAGTATTACTAAATTGCTAAAAAGGAATATGAAAATTTTCATTGATAAATAAATATCAATACTAGCGTCATCTCTTAACAAGTATACACATCACTTGATGTAGCACTCTTTACGCCATCTAGCATCGTCAATTGGTATCAGATAATAAAAATAAAAATAACGAAGTACTAGAAGTTTTTTGTTCATTAAAGTTTTTACTGGCGTGTGTTAGATGCCGCTTACAATGATCATTTTGTGTGTCATTCATTCATTTCATTCCACTATCAACTTTTTGTTTATCATTCGTTCATTTCATTTCATTTGTGCGAAAATGTAACAAGGACTGGCTGTCAAAAGTTGTTTTTATTTTCTTTGTTTAATTTATTTATATTTTTTATTATAATGTAAAGTGTTTAAAATTGTTGGTGTTTTAGTGTAACAAACTATTAAAAAATGAAGGTCATAGAAGCGAAAATTGTAGTTTTAGGATCACAAGGTAAAACTGAAAATAATATTTTTAAACTCACACGATTTGTATACATTATAATTATATGCAATCGGGTCTTGTATCTATTACGTTTGTAAAAATTTATTAAAATAATAATTCGATAATTAAGTTTTAATTGCTCCTAGATGTATTATTATAGAGCATATTTGGATATATTTATGACTCGAAATAGCTACGGGTCGAGCAAATTTCAAAAATACGGTAAAATAACTGGACGGAAAACCGGCTCCCAACATGCTATATTGGCTATGATGACCTAATTAAAAGGCATACGAAATGAAACAACTATAGGTATACGGTGTATAATTATATCTTTAAAATTTTAGACATGGAAAATTACTCATCCAAAAATACAGATTTTTGTTGTATCGTAAATATGCACTTAAAATCATTTGTAATAATCTCATTTTCAATAACGTTCCCAATGAATGTTAAGAATTCTGATCTCCAGCTTTAAACGTCAAATCTTTACTAAATTTCTATTGGAAAAATCTCACAGTGAAGCCTTTCCAATAAAAACAAAAATCATGAAAATCTGTTCATGAATCAATGTAGTTCTGGAGTAATATATAAACATGAGTAGAACTGAGACTCCTCCTTTTTTATGCCTGTTAAAACATGAATTTCAATTAATACTTAATGTGCTATGGAAGGACAACAGTCAAAATAACATTAATTTATTATAAAAAATGTCACTTCCAATCCAAATTAAGAATATGTATAGTAGGTACTTTATTAACTAAGTGGTAAATATGAAAGAGAATGTAGACCTCAATATGATTTAAGTACCTTTGTAGTAACTGTTTTTCTACTACTAAATTTATGTTAAATATTTTTTTTATTCAAATTTGTAACAATTACAAATGTCAAATTACGTTTCTGTTATGGAGGTAGGTGGCACTGTAAATTTCAATGCAAAACTTCAGTATCATGCACTGAATAATGCTAGAAACACTGTTTTGACTCAAAAAGGCTTTTGAGTTCCCATCTCTCATAAGAAGGGATTATAAAGAATGAAGTATCCAGTTCTCAAAAGAAAATAAATCTGTACCACTATTAGTTTTCATTCATTAAAATACAAGTTCATCAATTGACTGCAAAGTTTAGGGTAAAATACCCATTAGTCGGCTTTTAAAGATAATCTTAATTTGATTTAACTATATTAAAATAAATAAGGGCTTTAAATAAATACAGCTTTTTTATCAGAAAGGTTATTTATTACATTATCTAAAGAGATCAACAAAATGTTTTAATTAGATTAGAATTATATAAATAATAACATTAAACCAAAATATTGCACTTTTCACCAGTACTCGGCTGTAGTCTATCTCTTACCCACTTACATACTCTTGTATATTGGACATACAAATTCTTTAATATATACATTTTCATAGACATCAAATATCAGTTCATTTCAAATAACCGCAACTAATAAATACTCTTCTAACTATTTTTAGACTTAAACAGATTTTATTTTTTGTAATTCTGATTTCTTCTTTTGTCTTTTTCTGTTGCTTCACCCCTGATTTCTTAATAGAGATAAACAGAGGCATTTTCTCTAACTCTCAATTAAATTACAACACAATCATTTTATAATAAATAACATAAAATTTCTCCAGAATAAACAGCAAACTTATTAAAAAAAGCTTACCTTAATCATGAACACATTTACTTATGAAGAAAAATTAGAATGGTGCCACTTTCAGTTATGAAAATGATCTAATGCAGCTCATCAACCGATCATCCTTTTGTTACGAAGATGTGCATACTAACTAATAAGGGAACATAGATTCAATCAGACAATATTTCAATGGTATAACCCAAATTCAAAACTATTTATATGACTTCAAAGCCTGTGAAGGCAGACTATACGTTCCTATAGAAAGCAGACCATATACCCTATACATTCTCTACCCCTAAGTGCCTAATTTATTAAGTAAGATCCACATAGTAGCCACTAGCATTCTAACAAAGGTGACCTTGATGGGAACTTAGTTTCCAATATCTTGCATTATCTTCGAAATTTGGTTAACAACCAACCATGATTTACAACCATGCTGATCACACTTTTGTGTGTTAACTTTTAGAATATTTTTCGTATAGATAAGTTACTTTTTAAGTCATTGTAGTTTTAATATATATTAAAGCATGATTGCGGTCTAAATTAACAGAAAAAATCTTCAATTACAATAATTGAAAATTAATCTAGGGGTATGGTGTTCAGATTTAGTCAGACTTTATTATCTGTCAAGATATTTATAGGTGCCAAAATTTTTTTGGGATGAAACAGTTAACCTGAATGATATAAAACCCTTATTATTATTTGAACAGAAAATATCTAGCCAGTTGGTGACAGAAATGAAGCACTTCATTTTTTTTTAAATGATTACCATTTTAAATTTCAGGATTAGGTTACTAAAATCAGATTTACTTTTTAAATTACTTCTTTGCTACTAGCATGGTTATCACTTGTCAATATCGCGTAAATTCAGATTATTTATTACATGTAGGTATTTCCTATTTTCTCTCTATCTAGGAATCTTCATCTTAGATTAGAAAATAATATACAGTGTGTGAATAAAAAATTGCGGGTAAAATGCAGTTAGTATTATTTATTAACGATACATAGCATTATTTATACATACAACAATATTTATTAACAATACTGTGACCAGTTTTCCTGCTGATGAACATTGATGAGGATACGCTCTGTAGTAGCGAAAAAGTAACGGGTGCTTGGAATATTCGTCATTCCTGTTAGGTTCTGGGTAGCTCAGTGGTTAGAGCAGTCGCCTGTATTGCGAAAGGTCATGGGTTCGAGTCCCATCTTAGAATGCCAGGGACAAAATTGTTTCTTTAAGCATTTTTCATTAAGAATAAATTACTGTATAGCGTTGTTAATGCGAAACTGACCAAATATAATAATTATAACAAAAGTTCATCTTTTTCACCTCTAAATTTAACGAAATAATAATTTAACGAAACATACATTTCGTCACTAGACCTTCCACAGTCAACAGTGATTTAATATACCAAAAAATATAATGAACTAAAACAAATTTCAATTTAATCAAAATGGAATGTCAATAAAGTCACAGTAATTAAATCGATATTTAATAGAAATGTCGAGTAACTTAATACTAATTTAGTAAAACTAAAAAATCAGCCTGTATATCATATGATACTCGGCAGCTACTATAGATAAGATACATGTTCGACATGAAGATTTATGGCAATCCTTGTCTGTTATAAAATTAATCTCGTTTTATTGCCTGGGAAAATTGGGGTTTTCGTGTAAATCGATAGAGTTCTGTGAATGTTTTAAGTATGATTTTGTCATATTACACTTACACCTGGTATCCATATGATGTTAGTTGTTTTTTTTTTAATTTACTCTTACTCTGCTGGACGAGCGATATTTGATCTGGACATAATTAATTCCGTATTTTATATCGCATGTGCTGTTGCCTGTCCATACATTTCGGTGAAAATAAATCACCGAAATGATGTAAATACATGAAACTATACAAAACTGTCAAATTTCTCCATATTATTTGAGCCCTCATTTATATGTAGCGTTCTTCTTCTTCTTCTTTTATTAATGGCTTATTTGCGCATTACGCACAATTCTGCCAATGTCAAATAAATAAATAAATTTCTACATGTAAAATGAAAATCAAACTTGATTGAGAAAAATGACATATTCTGGTAGCCTGACGTGCAGCCATGTGTACGCAAAATTAATGTGACAGATGACATAATGTGCCAAAGAATAAAAACTGTTTATTCAATTGGAATTTAAAAAATCCACTTAGCCGGTCCCTAGTTAAGCTATGCCTTGTCCTAGGTATGGTTCATAAAACTAGTGTGTCAATTTTGTTAGTTAAATACATAATAACAAAATCCAATCAGTTATTAACGTATGAACGCTTCCACTACACACATGATTTAATTAAATTTCTTCACTAAATTTCTAACTTACTGGTCTGAATATACACATATGTAAAATATATTCATGTAATGAATATGATCGGTCTTGCTGACCCAACCAGCGGTGCATTCGAGCATGAAGACGTTTTGTATGGTTGCGTTACTTATTACGACTACCCACGTTCCGTATGTAATACAGAAACCTAATTATTATATACCCAATCTATAATTCTGTGAAAAAGGAAAATCAATAGGTGCACATTTTGTCTTTTTTTTTTATTCAATGCGCAGGAATTTCGCACGCTGAAAATGTAGTAACTATTGATCTATCAAAATGTGTCATGTAGTAAAAACTCTATTTGCAGTTTTTCTTTTTTTTTGTTATAGAAAAACCTTTACCTGTTTATAATGTTAATCTACTTACACTATGTATAATAATTATTTAAGTGAATATTTTATTTTTATTATAAACCCTACTTTTTATTAGCAATTTTAAATTATAAACAGAGTGTACGTGCTTACGCTGTTTGATTTTCGTAAATAGCTAAGAGTTTTTAATGTATTATATGTCTCTAGCAGTCCTTGAAGCGTCAACGACTGACAACTTGCAAAAATGCGAATTATATTTTACATACGGTATATATGGTATTATACGATATACTTAGTATATCGTGTTGCTTTAGATTTTTTGTTAATTCCTATCGTATGGCTTAATGCTTGTGTTCCTTCACAAGTAGGTCCGTGTTCCTATTATACAATAGTCTCTATACCAGCCTTTCCCAAAATGGGCGATAATGCCCCTTTGTTGGCGCTGCAGGCCTAAAGGGTAGCGGTAAGAGACCGAGAAAAAAATGATTACGTTGTGTAGAGGCTTGGAGGGTGGGTGATTTGTAATTTCATTTAGCTAGGAGGCCTCTTAGACACCAACTACATGAGCTCTCTCAACTAGAATTTGTGAACATCAACTGATATTAGTTTCTTCTCTGCATAGGTCATATATCTATCCAGTCTTATTGAATATGTAAATAAAAATCATGTCAATTGGCCGCTCTGTTTAG